GGGGGAAGTGAGTGGGTAGTGAAGGAGGAGGGGGAGGTTCCCTGTTCTCGTTTGCCGCTTGTCCTTTGTCGTCGTTAAGCTTCTGGTTGCCATTTGTTGCCGTTAAGCGGTTGTCGGCACGAAGTTGGATTTGTCTTTCAGTCATTCAGAGAGAGACTGTGAGATCTCAGAGGTGGAGATCGGGAGAGGGGACCACAATTGTGTGCAACGACGATAGCAGCGGCGGAGGAAATGGTGCTTAGTTGTATTGTGAACGTGATCTCGTCATCCATTGAACACGCGACAGAATCTCAGAGGTTGGGATCTGAGTCGCAGGCTTCGCCGAGTGTTGATGCCGCCGTGCTTGATTGGAGGAGACGAGGGATGTGGTCGTGTGGCGGCGGCGGTGGCGGGTTCAGGAGAGCCCGCGGTGGCAGCGTATGCAACGTGATGGCGAGGGCGACGCAAGCGGAAGCAGCCGAAGTCGGCGGAAGTGCGTGGGGAAGCGGCACTGAGTGTAGGAGGACACCTATGCTGTCGTAATCACGACGATACTTCTCGGTAACTTCAATGATAGACACCGAGCCAGAAACAAGCCAAACCGTGTAACGTATTCACATCAATAGGACATCACGACACTGAGAGGGAGGGGGAAGAGAGAGAGAAAAGAATAGAGAGGAACGAGTCAAGAGATCCCGAACGCGACGTTTCTTTCAAAAAAATAAGCGTGAAGCATATGTCCGAATGGGAACATCCGGTTGGCGAACGACCCGACCGGTTCAGGGGTCTTGTCGGTAAGGAACCGGACTGACTGATCCTATATATAGGAACAACTATCTAAAAGAACTAAGTATTCAAGGTACTACCTATGCCCTACAAAACAGGTCCTAAAAAACTAGAGAAAAGTTATTAAAAAACTAAAAAAATATAGACTACCTTGATACTAACTTCGCCTAAGCCCCGGATTCAAAGTCAGTCCACTTCTACATTCGCCGAACTATCTTGGTCAGAAAAAAACCGACTACATCCACGTCCAGAATACCACATATAAACCCGTCGTCACCAGTTCAAAACCCGACAAGGTTACCAATTTCAACATCACGATCCCCAAGGAAACACGCCGCACCACACCTGCGTCACCAGTTCAAAACCCGACAGAACTACGCCTATCTAATAACAGAACTTGTAACGAAGTACCTTACTGAGCACACCTCTAAACTTTCCTCGGTACCCATTTCCGCTTATAACCCTACATCACCAATTCAAAGCCCGACAAGGTTACCAATTTCAACAACACCATCCCCAAAGAAACACACCACGCAGCACCCAACATTGCCAGTTCGAAACCCGGTAGAACTACGCCTACCTAATAACAGAGCTTGTAACGAAGTACCTTACTGAGCACGCCTCCGAACTTTGATCGGGGCCGACCATCAAGGCCCCTAAGACCGACAACCCCGGTCCCATCCTATCAACACAGGTACCCATTCCCGCCATATCCCCCCAGGTACACAGACACCTATGGCCAAGAGAGTGGATCACATTCGAGAAGCAGCGATTATAGAGGCGACCGTGATAGATGGAAAGAAGAGGGAAGAGGGAAGAGGAGAGGGAGGAGGAGGAGGAAGAGATGGCCGTGGAGCACGATTTCATGAGGGAGGAGTGTGGGGTGGTTGTAGTCCATGGCAACTCAGAAGCATCTCGGCTGTGTTATCTCAGGATTCTCAACCTGTACGTCCTGCAGCACAGAGTCAGGAGGGCGCAGGGATTGTAACGTATGATAACCAGAGCTGGACGCCCCTCACTGTGATGGGCATGGGCTTGGTAGCGGATGTGTTCAACGTAGAGAAGCTGAAGCAGCGTCCTGGAAAGTGCACGGTCGGGCATGTTTGATATGCAACTTCAGGCGCCTCACTGCTGAAGACTGTCCAACCTTTGTGGCAGGGTGCAGATTTGGATTAGTGGGGCTCGCACATAATTGGAACCTGGTCAACTATTGGCAGTTGACGGAGATGCTGAAGGGAGGGTCGATTTCAACACATCATCCAACATAAAAGTCATTCTTCATCTGATTGCCAAATCAAAGCAAACTTAGCAAAGGCCATTTATTTCGCGATTAGTAGAAGCCTTTGAGCAGTTGGAGGGTGCATATTAACTTGTTTCCATCACAGAGGGAAAGCTTGTAGCTGTGCGTGACCCTTGTGGGTTTAGGCCTTTGGTTATGGGCTGCAAGGATGATAGAACCATCGTATTTGCATTGGAGACATGCGCCTAAGGCTTGGACTTTTTTTTTTTTTTTTTTTTTTTTTTAATACCGTCTGCGACAACAGATAGGAGTGATGGTAAGAGCATGCACTTCTACCTGTCTTGCAGGGGGCTCCAGTCTATTGGTGGGGAGCTACACCTGCCGGAAAGCGGGTCCAGCGTCCCCTGAGATACAATGTTAAGTTGGTAGATCAACACATGCTGGGAACCGGGCGAACGTCCCGATAACAAATTGATCATGCTACTGATGCGATAGGATGATGATGATGATGATGATGACGATGATGATGACAATGATGATGAGAAAAAGCAAAACATGACCTCTCAATGCACGAGCAACTCCTAGCCTCTCCTATACCAGACACAACACTCCAAAGGTAATATCGTCCTAGCTAATACCTGTCATATCCGTCATGTTTTCACTACCAGGACTATAACCGACCCCCTATGCTGTCATGGCAGATCCCCCAGTTTGCCACTGGATTGCCTTCCTCCGTCGAAGAATCCCCATACCTCTCTACCAGGCCTGACGCTCCTGCTACAAACATGTCACAGGGCAAAGCCCCAACACTGGTCAACGTCGTTCTAGAATCGGCAAACCAAGAGCACAAAACACCACCGAACTATAATGTCAAGGGTTCAAATCCCTTTCTGCCTACTTACTATGATAAACAATCATTTATAATAAATAATCAAATCAATAAGTAATGTAATTAATGATTTCTCTTCTTGATTAATTTAATTGAGAAATGTCTTCATTCACATCTTCTTGGCTTCTACCACCTCTAAAATCTCGTGTCTGGTGTGAGAGGAAATTGAGATGACGCCTAGGATAGAAAAAGGTCATGTAAGCTTATATAGCTCAGATAATTAGTGATTAGACTATAATCTATAGCAATCCTTTTTTTTTTAAATAAGAAAACAACACCCATGAATAACCTCCCGCCTCAACCTCTACCCAACACCCACAAATCAAGTGACACTGCTATCCTATCCAAAGCCCCACAAAACTCTCTTTTTTTCTTTTTCTTTTTTTTTCTAACAAGAAAACCCTGCCAAGGCAATTAGGCATGGTGGTATGAGAAGCCATCCCTAATTACCCGACCGAGACTCCAATCTATTGGTGGGGAATAGCACCTGCTGGAAAACGAGTCCAGTGTCCCATATACATGAATAATATTGACAGGTATTGACAAGCTTGGGAAAGGAGAAATCCAGATACATCATGAGTTCTATAGGCAGAGATTGCCTCTTCAACCATAACTAGGTCGCCAGATGCAGCCTTTTAACCTAACAATTTCTACCCTTGAGATTTGTGAATCAAACAACAACAATCATAACATTCCTGCTAAGAAGACAACTCAGTTATTCCCAGCATTGTCACGCGGGGATCCCCGGGGCCCAAGCCGGGTTAGGGGTTTCACCCCCGGACCCCCGCCCCTGCCCCAACCCCGCCACCCCCGCTCCCAGCCCACACACCTGCCCCCA